GAGGAGGAAGTTGCGCCTGGTTGCCCTCTGCTTCCCCTTTTATCTTGGGGAGGCTTGGGGAGGGGGGGGTCCCTGGCTCACGCCCTGGGCAAACCGCGCAGCACAGTCCAATCCCTCGCGGTCCTGGGAGCAGCGGAGCCGAGGCGGAGGAGGCTCGCCCTGCGGTGCTGGCCGGCGGGTCTCCCTGGCTCTCCGGGCAGGCAAAGGGACCGAGGGACACGTGGGGCGCTTTCGCAACGCTGCCCAGCGCCGCGCCATAGATGGAAGCGCCGCGGCTGCCGCAGCCTCGGGAGGGAGGAGCTGCGCGCTTAGCCAGGACGGGAAGCCGAGGCGGGGGGTTGGGGGGTCTCTCCCAATAACAGCAGGAATAGCAACAGGCAGCTGGGGGGGGGGGATTAGCCTGTGGTCGGGGGGTGGGTGGGCGCTGCGTTCCTGGCTGCCAGGAGCCCCGGAGTTCTGGGAAGCCTTCGGGCCCCTTGTCTGAATTCCTGGAAAGCGTCCCGCCATCGGCGCTGCCAGGCAAAGGACGGAGGGGGGGTGGGGGGGGACGGGAGAGCGGAGCCCGCGGGCAGAGGAGCGGGGGGGGGTCGCCCAGAGGGGAGCCCGGCTGCTGCGGCCGTCGGGCTGGGGGCTCCTCTGGAGCTGCGCGGCTCCCCAAGGCCGGATTCTCCCGGGGCGAGCGAGGGGGCGCTCAGCCAAGGCGCGCGGCGGCCCAGGGGTTCCGGCCCCGGGAGACGGACCAAGATGCGCCACTGTCCGACGGCACTCCCGGACCGTGCCCGGCCGGTGCCCCCCAGCTATGAGAGCAAGGCACTGCCCGGGCTGGCCCCAAACCCGCGCCCCGCCCCGCTCCCGTCTACTAGCAGCCCTCGGGGGGGGGGGAGAAGTGCCTCCTCCGGCCCCCGCCTGAAGAAAAGGCGCCGTGCCCCGGGGGTCCCTGGAAGCTGCGCTCCGGACGCCCGCCGGACCCCCGCCCTGCCCCGCCCACGCGCATCACCCCCCTCCCGACCCCAGGGCGGGCTTCCCGCGGGCGCCCTGTTGGCGAGGGCAGCGGGTCTTCCTGGGAAGCGTCTGGGGACCCCCCCCCCTGGCCGTCCGAGCGCCGCGGGTCGGGGGAGGCTTACCGTCGGCGGCTCTGCCCCGTCCAGGCACCGCCGGCCCGCCCGCCCGCCTTCCCTTGTTCCGCTCCCTTCGGCTCCGGGCGCTGCTGCGGGACGGCGCGGGCAGAGCTGGGCCCGGCCTGTCGCCTCCTTGGCAGCCGCTTCTCCGGGACCCGGGGCGGGGGTGGGGGGCGCCCTCCGCCTTGGTCCGCTCGGGGCGTGGAGGCGGCGGCCGGCGCTTTCCCTGCTTCCTGTCGATAGGAAAGGGCTTTCACTTCGCTTCCTTCGCCCCCGAGCGCTGAGCGGGCGGCGGGGCCGGGCAGTCCGGACCGGAACGAAGGCCAGCAAGCGGGCAGGGCCGGGGCCGACGGAAGGCAGTGCGGGGGCGGCCTGCGTTGCTGCTGAAAGACCCCCAGCCCGCTCCCTGCCTCCCCCCCACAAGAGACCCAGTTCTGAAAGGACCGGGGGAGAAACTGCCCACGGGAGATCAGGGTCTGCGTTGCCCGGATAAAGGGAGCCCCTCCCAGGCCAGGGGTCCCACAGCAGGAACCGGGGCAACTGCCTCAGCTGGGCTCCTCTGCCAGCTCCCAGGACCCAATGCACAGATGCTGCGGGGGGGGCGGGCTTCTCACCCCCCTTTCATGGTCACCCGCCTGCAGCAAAGGAGGGGGGAGGGGGTGTCAGCAGCCAAGCAGGGGAGCCTGCAGGGGAGGGGCTCAAGGGGCTGGGGGGAGGGTTGTTGAGACAGTGGGTGCAGTAGGGAGGATGCCCAGTGCCCGGCATTTTGCCCTCTGCCTTGGGTAAATTTGTGGCCAGTGACCCTGGAGACCTGTTGATTGGGCCAAAGGCTGCCCCAGCAGGTGGAAGCCACACCTGGCTAGAGATGAGACCTCCCCTCCCCGATCCTTTCCCCTCCCACTCAGGCTGGTCCTCTGGGGATCACTGGCGCCCCATGCTGGCCAGCTGGCCACCCCACAACAAAGAGAATGCCAGGCTGCCCGTGGCGAGGGGCCTGGCTGAAGCCCCCTGGCCTGGGCTCCTCCCAGCAATGGCTGAATCCTATTCGGGCCTCAAGAGCCTCCAGGGCCCTGGGCCTCCCTCGCAGTGGGCTTGTCTGCACCCAACGGGGCCCTTGGTGGGGCTGGAGACCCTCAGGGGCTCCGTCTGGCCGATCATGTCTCAGGCAAGTGGCCAATAATGTGGGGGGTGGGAGGGATGGAGCCACTGGCTTCCAGCCGCACAGAAATTAATGGATGCAGCACGACTCCTGTGGCCTCCAGCTGGGCAGCACACTTGGTGGTGGGGGGGGAGGAATGGCCGCCCCCTCCTCTTCTTCAGCAGGGGAGAAGCCTTTCTGCTTCCCCAACCGGGATTCCAGCATTGGTTGGAGTTTGGGGCAAAATGAAAGCGAGTCCCCCACCCCCTCCCCTCTCCGGGAGGGCCAGTTTGGTGGCGACACCAAAGAAAACCCCATTTTGGGGGCAATGGAGCCACTGGGGGAGATTTAGGCCTCTTTCAGTTGCTTTGCTGGATTGGCCAGAGCTGAGAGGGATCCCCCAGAAGCTCCTCCCCCCCACTCACTGGGGAGGGAAGATGGGGGCTCTCTGGAGCAATAGCCCCTCCCCAGAGACAATAGCAACAGGACCACCCCCTCCCCCAGCTGCCGCATGCAGGCTGCCCCTTTCGGCCTGTTTGTGGGTTGACAAAGTCCATAGGTGGGGAAGGATTTCTCTTAAGGACGCCACCCAGAAGCCCACCGCCCGAGGTTTTCTCCCTCTGAGCAGAGGCAGAGAGACCCTGCATGGCCAGGGCAGCCACCCGTCCCCCTGGGACTTCATCCAGCACCCCCCCCCGCTCCCCTGGCATCCCCTCTGTCTCTTCTGCAGGGGCTTGGGGTGCCCTGGGGAGGACCCCTCCCCTCGTTTGCAGAGCCAGCACTGCAGCCTCCGAGGTACCAAAGGGGCCGTGAAAGAGGCCTGGGGAAGCCTGGCACTGGCCAAGACCACCGTGGGAAGCTTCTCGTGCCCCAAAGGCAGCCTCCTTTTGGGGGGCAATGCTATGAAATCCGCCTACCGGGCATGGCCAGGGATGCCAACAGGCCCTGAGGACGGGGCGAGTTCAGGGAAGGATGAGGAGGGGGGGGGGAGGTTTTTCTGTTGTTTTCGTTTTTGCATTTATTGCTCTTGCTGGGCTCTCAGCCCCCCCAGTTTGGTTTGGACTCCAGGGGTTTTGCAGACGTTTTAACTGAAGAAACAACCCTCCCTTGAGGCTTGACCCACAGGGGCTTCGTTGGCCATAAAGCCCCAGACTGGCCAAGAGGTCATCTGGCCCACCCCCGGGCCTCTCTCCTGCTCCCACTGAAGGGTCTGGCTCAGCCCATAAAGCCCTCCATGGTAGTGGACCTGCGTACTTGAGAGACCGCCTCCTGCCAATTACCTCCTCGCGACCTATTAGATTGCACAGATTAGGCCCCCTCCGAGTTCCATCTGCCAGTCAGTGTCGACTGGCAACTACACGGAGGAGAGCCTTCTCAGTAGCAACTCC